TAGATAGAACGGCCGTCGGCCAAAGTCCTACATAGCCAACGGCTGATACAGGACTATAATGGAATAATAATAATAGTAGTACTATAACTACTCTTAGCTTAGGCTAATATATAAATATATTACACTTTAGTTAATTTATATCCTAGTATTCAACTACGTAAAATTTCTAAGCTAAAAGACCTTATTTAAATATAGTAGTGTAGTGTTGAACAAGATGGTGCTCTTAGTGTTGACACGTTGATGGGGGTGGCCTAAGCTTACGTAGTACGCGAGCAGACTTTTGCAACCTTACTGTAACAAAGAACGGTTTGTCTATTGCATAGCACCGCACAAACTATACCTGTCTTGTACGGAACAAATCTTTTCTACAGTTGCCCATGATGGCCTCCGATATTGAAATGTACACCTGCAATACGTGCTCTTGTACCTTCAATTGCAGCGAGCTTCAACGATCGCATATGCGTGCACCCTGGCAGTGCGATATGTCTCCCTGCTTGTTTTACATGTACTGATGATATTTACAGCATATACAATTTGAAGCAGCGCATGATTAAGATGCCAGCTTTGACGCTGGAGCAATTTGACGCCCTAGCTCAGCCTGATGAGTTTCCCAATCCTAAGACCAGCAAGGAAGATGATATGCGAGCTGCACCGGAATCCAGGTCTGAATCAGGGGAGGAGAATCAAGTGGACAAACGAATTTCTCCTTCAGAGTGTCTGTTCTGCAATATTGACTCATTTAACGTAGAAGACAACGTTGAACACATGCGTTTTGCTCACGGACTATATATACCTGAGGCCGACCAACTATCCGACATGGAGACATTCATTGGCTACCTTGCATTGATCATCTGCGAGTACAACGAGTGTCTTTACTGTGGAGTCGAGAAAACCAGTCTGGAGGCGATTCAGACACATATGAAAGACAAGGGCCATTGTATGATCAATTTAGACGGTGAATCAGAGCTTCTGGATTTCTGGGATGTTTCTGGCGACGAAGACAATGAAGAGCCAAAAGGTGGGGAGAAAGAGAGAAGTAATGACAATAGATTTCACATCTCTGCGACTGAAATGCGACTCCCGTCTGGTTCCATCATCACTTCGCGCTCTGATACTGCTCAGCTCCGTGCGAAGCCAACGCTCACCAAGTCGAGGGTCAAGGCTTCGCAGACACGGATCAACAAGGATAGGGTAAAGGCCATAACAAATGGAACCGAGGACAAACTTCAAGGACCCGACGGCAACCGTTCCATGCGCACGCAGCCCGGCACAGATCATCGCATGGCTATTCGCGGGGAGATGGGACTTATTGGCTTGCCTGAACAACAAAGGCGCGCTTTGATGGCGACAGAGATCAAGATGAAGAAGCGCGAGCATATCGCCAAAGCAGCCCAGAGATGGGCTACTGAGAAAGTTGCGAACAAGCAAAAGTTCTTTAAGGTATGAAATGCTTTCACGTAATTGTGGAAAAAGAATTGATTAACAGCATCACAGCCAGACGTACCGGGGAGGAAAAATGGCTGAATATCGGATTCTTGTTTGAATCTTTCAACTTTGATTGGTTATTGGAGCATCGCAAGATGGTTAAAAATCAATTCCCTTTTCATATATGACAAATGTAGCAGTGTGAAAATGTATAGATTTTGATCAACGTCACCTCTCTGCATCAAAAATGACCTTTTGCACCTCCATCCTCTCAAATTTTGCATACCACTTAGGCGCCTCCGAAAGCGGTACCACAGTCTCCGTCAGAAAGTCTAACTTGCCTTGACACCTAGCCAGGCAATCCAACGCCTCTTGAAAAACGGACCTAACAGGGCACCGCCCCATATAAAGTCGTATGTTCTTATCGTACCCTTCAGCCCATCCGATTAGCAAACACACAGACTCCTAGAGACATGTACTCGACCACTCACCCTGAGAAGCTGTAAAGGGAAATTCGGCTCTATGCACCCCAATGAAACTGGTAACGCCTCCTGGGCGTACCAAGTCATATGCCAGTTGCAAGGCGGATTTCTGTCCCACGAGCTCCAAAACAACGTCTGCACCCCTACCATTAGTGACGCGGAACATGTCAAGCTAGCTCTTCTCACAGGTCTTTGGTCTATGATCCGCGAGACTATCCTTGGTCGGGCATCAACTCCTGTAGAGACTGGTGACCTAGCCTACCGTGCGACATTCACCCGCGAGCAACTCGAATCCATCAAAACGCCTGGCATGGAAGAGTTGTTGTCACCCAATACCCAGCACTTGTGGATGGACCCAGGGAAACACGCCATGTTTTATCTACTGCGAGGTGGTACAGAATCCAATTTGGTTCTTTTGCGGCCAGACAATTTACTAAATGAAATAAAGGTAGCAGAAGGAGACATAGGAGAAACGAGGAAGTCTTCCAATGGTTGGGATCCATTGTGTGTTATTCAAGCCAGGTTTACTGGCTGTTTACTAACTTTTACAGGCTGACACGGTTCATCTTTTGCATCAAATCAGTCCTGAAGTGGAAACTATTACATTATGAAGAGCTCAGCACCTGCACTAAATTATATGAAAGTATTACGATTTAGTTTTCTATCCTATTGACTTGTGTGTTTTAGGGTCACGTAGCTCTCCTCGGCGATGCATGCCACCCTTCTTTGCCATACCAGGCACAAGGGGCCGCGATGGCAGTAGAAGATGGCGTTATACTAGGTCTTTTGCTCGGGCGTCTCAAAGTCGCATTGGAATCGAAAGCCGAACCCTTCATTGGTTTGGACCTTATTCCACAGATTCTCCAACTTTACGAATCCTTGAGGAAGACACCTACAACGCTCAATGTTAAGGGGGCCATCCAGAATCAACATGTGTATCACATGCCGGATGGAAAGGAGCAGATCCAGAGAGATGAGTTCTATGTTAATGCAATGGATAAGGAGATCATCGATGCTCCACAATATTCTATGATCGACAAAAAGTACCAATTCGAACTGCTTGGTCAGGACAGGGTTGCAGAGGCGGAGGAAGAGTTCCAGAAATGGTGGGCCGTTTTCAAGAATCACTGCTAAATTGGCAAATGAGTCGGGGTAGAGCTGGGTCATAGCAAAATCCCAAGGCTAGGGATAGGTCTAGTTGATTTACAAATAGTACTGGGTTAAGTTGGGTCTGGTTTAGTAGTATAGCCCATGGCTTTGTTGCCCACTTTTGCTCAGCCCCTACTACGATATCACGAAAAGTTATTAGGCTAAAATTTGATTAATATCTATCTATGAAGCTTAAGATTACCTAGTTTACTATTAGAGAGACTCTTCTAGAACATGATCTACATGGTATATATAGTAGTAGAATAACCAAGTAGATGGAAAGTAGAGTAGACCATAATGTCATCTTGGACAGTGTCACCTGTACGATGTAATCTTCCCTCTCTCCCTTAACGATGTCCCGCTGGAGTCTCTATCAGACTACTTCTACGTCTATTAAAAAACAGGATTGGCTCACTAATACCAGTTAGTTCACTAACCAACTAAAGAACAAATACTAAATAATTACAGGTTCATCATTTTTGACAGAGACAACAAGTGTTGCAAGTAAAGAGGCAAGAGGATTCCTATCCCGCCACGGAGGAGTGTGGACCGAGGATTCAAAGCATGACTCTTGGCCTGTCATTGGGTATTCCTTAGGCTAATAAGGCCGAGAAGCTACATGATGACTAGGACAAAAGCTCTTATCCAATCGTTTAGGACTTTTATTGCTGGAAGTCGGCCAAGCCCTCGACAGCTTCGTGGACTTGGGCACCTACGGTACTGGTGAAGTGGCGGTGGGCGCCGACACTTGGTTTGACGGCGATGGTGGCAGCCGTAATAGTAGTAGCAGTTTGCCTGCCGGTGGCTATAGCGAGTATAGCGTCTGCGTCTGCGTTTGCGTGTGTGGCGGCTATAGAGGCTCTCCATGCCACGTGATCGTCGGACGCACCAGGACAGCGTCGCGCTCCCACACACGGCGCAGATGGGGCTCGTCGGGCAGATGCAGCGTTTGTAGTGGCACCTTTGCCCGGGAGGCGGCGGCTGCAAATGCCTGCGCGTACCCGCCCGCCGCACTCATATCCACCAGCGTGTACTCGGGGCCGGTGCCAAAGAGATCGAAGATGCTATGCTGACCATTGGCCAGAAACACACTGGGAGCGCGCGCGCCAGGCCACGTCGACGGCACGTGTCTCGCGGGCTCCCACACGGGCTCCTTGTCGTCGTCGTCATCATGGCTGCTGGCGCCGACAATGACGGGCGAGCCGTTGTAGCAGTAACCCAGCTCGATGCCATGGTCGGTATTCTTGCCCTGGTGTTGGCACACGTGCTTGGCAATCTTGTCGCGCAACACCTGGCCTTCACTCGTCGCGGCCGTCGACAGCTGTCGCGCCTTGCTACACCACTCGACGTAGGCCGCGTGCACCGAGAAATGCACCCCAGAGCGCTCGATATTGCGCGCCCCTACCGGCCGTCGCTCCACTTATAGTTCTAAGAAAAAATAATTATAATAGAGTACTTATAAGAATATATATATATGCGTTTTACTTTATATAGGTAAAAATATCATACTTCTAACAATAGTTAACGTGTTTTACAAGCGAGCGGCGCGTACAAGCGAGCGGCGCACCCCACCAACTTTGCACACCTCTCTA